CTTTTGGGTGTTTGTGTGTATAGATATATATATATATATGTGTGGGCACTGTTACTTGTTTGCTTTCATTCACACTCCCTTCTGTTTGGTATTCATAATAATAACAACAAATAATAATAATGTACATTTACATTTACATTTACATGCATGCATGCACATTATTATTATTATTATTATTATTTGTTATTTGGTTGTCTAGCTCGTATGACGCCCATTACTCTTGCAAATTGGTTTTCCTGTGCCCCTTTCCCCTGTTCCCGCTGCCTGCCTACAGCAACGCTGCGACTTGTGCCTCCAACTTCTCCGTGTCCTTTGAGAAGTTCCGGATGCCCTCCTCCAACTTTTCCTTCGCCATCGTGTTTGGCTCCCCCTCAAAGAGCGACTCCGGTCCTGTGAACGGCGGCAACTTCTCCGTCTTCTCCGTGAGGTGCGCCGGGTCGAGTTTGCGTGGGACGGGGCCGGGGGTGTTGTCGAGTGACTCCAGCAGTTTGGGTGAGATGGTCAACTTGTCGCACCCCGCCAGCTCCAGCACCTCCCCCGTGTTGCGGAAGGAGGCACCCATCACGATGGTCTTGTACCCGTGCTGCTTGTAGTAGTTGTAGATCCGCGTCACGGAGATGACGCCAGGATCCTGCGCACCAACGTAGCTTTCTGCCTTCTCTGGCTGGTGCTCCTTGTACCAGTCAAGGATGCGGCCAACAAATGGAGAAATAAGGGAGACGCCGACCTGCGCACATGCGACGGCCTGCCCAAACGAGAAGAGGAGCGTGAGGTTGCAGTTGATGTTCTCCGCCTCAAGTTTCTGGGCGGCTTGAATGCCTTCCCACGTGGAGGCCAGTTTAATGTAAAGACGAGATCGCGGCGTACCGGACTCCTCGTAGAGCTTCACAATATGCCTCGCCTTTGCCACCATACGTGCCGTGTCGTATGAAAGCCGGGCGTCCACCTCCGTGCTCACACGACCAGGAACAATCTTCAAAATCTCAGAGCCAAAGTTCACCGTCAGCTTGTCGACAGACAACTCCAGCAGATGTGCCTTCTCGTCCGCACCGGGGGTGAGTCCATCACGCAGACGGCTGACGTTTTCCTTCGCAAACTTCACCGCATCTTCAATAAGTTTGGCGTACTGTGGCAGTTGACTGCCGGCAAGCACGAGGGACGGGTTTGTTGTGGCATCCTCCGGCTTAAACTTTGCCAGTAGCGAGAAGTCTGCGGTGTCGGCCACGACAATCGTGTGTTGCTTGAGTCCCTCCAGTTGAGACATAGCAAACGTGTATCACCTTTGTTTTTTCTTGGTGGTGGTGGTAGTTCCTCTTATGCCTCTTCCTGTTTTTATTTATTTTCCCCCAATGATGCTGTTTAAAAAGAAATGTTAACTGCCTTTTGTGTTTTGTTGTTGTTGTATTTTGTTTTAGCTGCAAATACGCCTCCTTAACAAATGGCTTCCACACGGAGTGCGTACATAATGAGCGTGCATGTAAATATAATAATAATATTACATATGCCCGCCAGCAGCGGCAGCAAGAAATAAGGAAAAAAAAGAAAAAAGAAAGGGTGGGGGGGGCAGTAAAGGCTGACAAACACACGGAAGCATTTATCCATGAATGCCTGCTGGCACGCAGAAGTGGCCTCCCTTCTTTTTCTTTTTTTTTCTTTTTTACTGCAGGTACAGAGAATTTATTTTTCTTTTGTTTTTTTGGCCACGGATGCGAAGATCACAACAACACGACGACACACACAAAAAAAAAAATAATAATAATAATAAATAAATAATAAGCGACTGCCTGCACGCACATTTTTATATACGCCCACACAAACACAAAGAGGGAGAGGGAGAGGGAGAATTGGACACGTATGTAATTGCTCATATATAAATAATATGCACATAATAATAAAATAATAATAAAATAAAATAAACACAAAAGACGGAAGAAAAAAAAAAAAAAGGAACGCATTCAAATAAATAACAATGCCAGTACTATTGGTAGTGGTAGACGAGGCAAAAAGAGAATAATAATAATAATAATAATAATAATAATAATAATAATAATAATAGAAAACAGTACGGTGGCAACAACAACAACAACAACAACAAAGAAAGAAAAACAATGATGATAACAATGGCAAGCAAATAAAAAGCAGAAAAAAAAAAAAAGGAAAAACCAAATAAACATCTCTTTTCTTTTCTTTTCTTTTCTTTTTAAGGAAGAACAACAGGACGTAAATATCACTTAACAACTGTCCCCCTGCTCGGTCCTGCCGCCCTCTTTGTTTGACTCCTGGGGCGTGCGGTAGCCGCATTGGCACAGCGTCTCCATCAGCTTCCCATCGTCCTCCAACTCCTGCAACACCTCGTAATCGCCAATGAAATGTTCGCCTATAAAAAAGGCCGGTGTGGGCGGCATCACATTGCGACCCGTCGATGCAGCGTACATCTCACGCAGACGCCGCTGCGTGAAGGGATCATCCGCGACATTCACCGATACGTACTGAATGCGTTTCAAATACAAAAGCGTCTCTATCTGGCGGCAGTGATCACGGACACGGCGGTCGCCTGTCATGGTGGTCACAAAGAGCACCGCCTTCGCGGCATGCCTCGCAGTCGCACTAGTGTGATTGGTAGTACGCGTAGTCGTGGCGGAAGATAATGGCGGGGAGGCATGAGAAGAATTGTGAGAGGACTGCGCCGCATCTTTTGCCAATGTTCCCGCATTGAGGCCCCCACTTCGTGTCTCTGACGGCTGAGTACTGCCGCTTGCACGCCGCTGAGCGGGGGCGTTGGCCCTCGTCGTCGTTTTGGGAACGGCGGGGACGACAACAGCCGTCTTCTCTGCGGATGTCTCGTGTGGCGCGCCCCGGCCTTTCGCTGGCACGTTGTTTGGGATCTCAGCACATGACTGCCGCTCCCCATTACCATCGCGCTCGTCCTTCTGCCCGCCTCTTCCTTCGCCTCCCGCCCCCCCCTCCACCCGCACCGCCGGTATTCTCTGAATGAATTTTGACGGGGCATTCTTTCCCGACTCCTCACGCCTCTGCAGCAAATCCAAGGCGTCCTCAATGGTCTGCCGCCGCGCCGAGACGAGAAGCGCGAGCTCCGCCACCAACTGCGCCTCGGCGTCAGGAAATGCAAGTTGCAGCTGCCGCGCAGCACGCTTTTCGCTCGGGTACCTAAAGTCAATTATGCCCCTGTCTCTCAGTACTTTTGTAGGCGGCAACGGCTGCGGCGTCGGCGTCGTCGTCCTCGCCGCAGAAACCGTGGAGGCTGTCACGGAAGAGTCCACCCCGGCGCTCCTCATCCTCGCCGGTTACTATATATATATATATATATATATATATATGTGTATTATACACGCAGTGCACACCACGCTTTCAATCGCGGCAAAGGGGCAAAGTTTATCAAACAACGACCACTTCTTCTTCGCCGTCTGTGCGGGTGTGGGTGTAAGAAACTCTAAAAAAAGAAAAGAGAGAGAAAGAGAAAGGAAGCCATGATGTTGTGTGCAAACACAAGAGGGCACATGTGCCGAAGGGGATGGAGCGTGACAGGGGCTTCCTGCAAGAAGTGCGCAGTATTGTTGAGAACAGAGATAGAGAGAAGGTGTGTGTGTGTGTGTGTGTGTGTGAAACGGGGAGAGAAAGAGGTGGAGAGAGAGAAAAAAAGTATGCGTGCAAAACAAAACAAAACA